ATTGTTGGTATTGTTGTTGCATTTGTTGTTGTTGGAAAGACGGAAAAGGTTGATATTGTTGTTGGAAAAGTGATGTTTGTTGGATAGGGGAACCGGTTTGAAGCAAATTGATAAAACCGCTTTGAGGTGACTCCATAGTCGGGAATTGGCGAGGGGTTGTATCTAACGCAGAAGCGTTATCGGGTTTGCGATTTTTGTAGTTTGGAAGGGTATTTTGGTTGGGATCCATGGTTTTTGGTTGTGAAGATGTAGTGTGTAGTTTGTGTATAGAGAAAGAAAAGAATGATGTAAAAAATAAGGAGTAAAAGTGTTGTATTTATAGGTAAATAAATTGGTTAAATTTTTTTTTTTAAAAAACAAAGTCGCCGTTGAACGGCTATAGAAAATGGTCAATGTGGGCTGCGATTCTATTGGCTGTTTCCGTCCGTTATGTCGAACACGAAAGACCACGAAAATGAGCAACCACGAAACAACGGGGTGGTGTGCACGACCGTTGTTCGTGGCCAGCTCAACCACGACCGACCTCGTGCTACGTATACCATATGACCTAATATGTTAAAAGTTAAAGAGATAACTTTATAAGAAGTAATATATTATTTTAATACTGAAATTTAGTTTATTTATGATTACACTTTATGTTTGATATTTATTTTAGCTTATTAACCAACTTATAATCATTATTTGAAAGACACTACAATTTATCACTTTTAACTATTTATAAAATATTCTTTGGGTTGTTTAAGTTGAACTAAAATTTATATTTAAGTTGATCCTGTAATGTTATATTTTATTTAGCAATTTAAGTATTTTATCTAAACTTTTCAAAATTTGTTGTTTTAAAATGATAATGGTTTACATACAACAACATATTAAAACTAATAAATTAGAGTAAATTACACGAATGGTCCATATGGTTTAGGGTAATTTGCACGTTTGGTCCCTAACTTAATTTTTTAACTCGGAAGGTCCCTATTGTTTGTTTTTGTTACGCGTTTGGTCACTGTCTTACCTAAAAAGACTATTTTGACCTTGATTTTCTAGATTATTTAGATAAACACACCCCCAACCCGGCCCCTCTCACCTTACCTTACCTACCTCACCATTTTTTCCTATTTAAATAATAATTTTTTTAGGTAAGATAGGGACCAAGTGCGTAACAAAAACAAACTGTAGGGACCAAGTGTGTGACAAAAACAAACAGTAGAGACCTTCCGAATTAAAAAAATAAGTTAGGGCCCAAGCGTGTAAATTACCCCAAACCATAGGGACCATTCGTGTAATTTACTCAATAAATTAAGTATAATACGATAAAAGTTAATAATATAACTTTATAAGTAGAAGTAAGATATTTTTTTAATATTGAATTCTAGTTTATATATGATTACACTTTAAGTTTGATATTTATTTAACTTTATTAACAAACTTATAATCATTATTAGAAAGAAATTAAAAAGTAATGAGAGTTTCAAATAAATATGATGAAAGAAAAAATATTTTCTTTATATATATATATATATATATATATATATATATATATAGTGGTTCGGTTTGGGTATCCATGGATATCTAAATATCCAAACCGATACCGACCCGTAGGTACCCAGTTTTTTCGGTTACGGTTCTTTTTCGGTTTCGGTTTACTTCGGTTTCGGGTTGGCCGGATCGGCTCGGATTTCGGTTTTGCGGTTTTTTCGCACACCCCTAAATATAACAACCAATATAATCATAATAGATGTAGCTTATATCATAAACAAATATGTCATAACTTGACAATAAAAAGAGACTGTTTCAAAATTAATAAGTTATCAAAAATCAAATTCTAGTTTTACTAAAAAAAAACAAATGTAGTGACAAACTTATAAACTAGAATTTAAAATATTATTTTTAAAAGCAAAAATCATTTTTCTTTAAATATAAAACCTGTGAATGCACAATTTGTATTTTTTAATGGACTTCGACAAAGTACGAAAAACATGGAACTCGTAATTCATTGGTCATCCATAGGAATCTTTTGTTTTTCTTGTATCCCTTTATATATCTTCAAGATTTCAACTTCAAATCGAATCTCTGAATCCCAACTTACACGATGGAGCAAGATGACGGCTCTGAACCAACCGCCTGGTTCCAGCCATCCATCACCACCACACGCCGCCGTAATCCATCAATCGAACCGGTGATTCTCATCCTCCTCCTCCCAATTCTTGTGTTGCTCCTCCTCTTCTTCTTCCTCCATCCACTCCAATCACATATTCCAAAAATCATCAAACCAACTTTTCTCAAATCCACTTGGGATTCACTTAACGTTTTCCTTGTATTCTTTGCCATTATTTGCGGTGTTTTTGCTTCAACGACCAACAACACTTCGACGATGGCAAACGCCACCAATCCAGTGAACAATCTCGTGCCGGAAAGTTATGAGTATGAGGAGCACGAGCAGGTTAATGGTGGATTAATAAGAAGCAGCAGATCGTACCCGGATCTGAGGCGGGAATCTGAATCATTGAGGGAGAAGGGCGAGAATGGAATAAGGTTTTACGATGATTCTGAGGTGGATATTCAGAATTCTTCATCGGTTAACAACCGTTCACCGCGGATAGGAGGGGGAAAGGAGGATATATATCGATATGAAACGATCTCCGGTGATATCCGCCACCGACCTCGGCGGAGGGAGGCAGAGGAAGTGCATGCGGAGGGAAGTACTAAAATCAGTCGAAATGTGCCGGTGAGCATGGTACAATTGCGTCCTCTTTCACCTCCGACCCCACCGCTTTCCGTCAGCGTCAAGACAAGGAGGCGGAGATCCTGTCGGAGTCTTGGGCGGGATGAAACGGTCGATGATGTTACGAGCCGAATTGACAAGATACAGATAGTATCCCAAAATCCTCCATCTTCAACACTGCCTCCGCCTCCACCTTCGTTGGTGCCATCGGAGCACCGATTGCATCAGAAGCGTGACAAACTTGAAGGGACATTAAGTGACTCTACATCGGAACTGGCTACGAAAATAGATTCAGTGGATGATCAGAGGAAGAGGAAGCGAAAAAGCAGACAGAAACCGACAAATATACAGCCGGTCACTCCGTCTATACAGCCGCTGTTGCTGCCGCATGCGCCTCCCGTTACGGTGGTTCCGCCGCCTCCACCACTTAGGACCATTTTCAATGCCATATTTAAGACCGTCCGTAAGACGAAGCGTTTTCCACCAAAAACCTCTCCACCACCATCACCACCTCCACCTCCGCCATCTTCAATCATCACGGGTTTTTTCAAAACTGGAACGAAAAGCAAGCATATCAATTCCTCCTCCGTTATTTCTCCACCTCGGAGGTCCACTGTTCCAGTAACACTGAAGCAAGAGTCCAAGCGTATGAGCCAAATCAAATCTCCATCTCCGCCGTTGCAACGGAAAACAGAAGCTCTCCGCCGGCGTTCTGCGGGCACAGACAAACCGCCTCTACCGACAAAAACAAGCAATTTCTATGACAGGGACGATTTTCTTCTCAGCGGCCCACACTCGCCTATGATTCCAATTCCAACCCCACCACCGCCAGCGATGAAATTCGAACTCCGAGGGGATTCCGTTAAGTCAAGGAGCATTCATGAATCTGTTTGTAGTTCACCGGAGCATGGACCCGTTGATTTCCGATCACCATCACCATCAACATCAACATCAACATCAACTGCGATCGACGTTGGAGATTCGTTTGGGCCCAGCCCAATATCTTTTCCTAGCCCCGACGTGAACGTAAAGGCTGATAGTTTCATTTCTAGGCGTAAAGATGAATGGAGAATGGAAAACATTAAATTCAATTAAAAATAAAGTGGGCACTAGCTTATAAATAAGCCCAAAGTCATATATGTTAATGTTACCACTTGTGAAATTCTATTTGTCAAGAAGTGAAACATTTTTTTTTGGATCTATCATATTACTTTCTTTATTGTCATGGTTCTTTTATGAGTTGCATGCAATCTTAAAATGGAAGCATATGAGATTTGAACATGTCCTAAATTTTTATGGAACACTACATTCCGAGTGATTACCACTAAAACAATTAATTCGTAAATAATCACTACTAAAGCATGTAAAAAGCTAACAATAAATGAGTATGAAAGATATAAGGTGCGTCCGACAAAGCTAGTTTGTAATTGGTAGTCGGGAGCTGTAAATTTATTTTTTATGAGTGTTTGACAAAAGTAGTTGAAAACTTTTAAAATATGTAAAATTACATAAAATGATAACTGTTTATAAAAGATAAATACATATAAAACAGTTGTGAAACATTTAGTTGTTCGGCCATTTGATTTTGTTTGGGTTTACATCATTCTGAATCATAATTGATCTAATTAAGATCTTCTACGATCATGTATATAATAAATTATAAATCATGAACAAATGAATAACTTTATGATGTTACATACCTTCTGTCAAAAAGTGTGGTCCTCTCTAGAATGCGTTTTGAAGTGGACGTCTCTTATTTTACTTGGTTGCCTACATAACTCAATCTATGGCACAATGCCTATGCATTAGAAAGAGACGAGCCTTTTGAGATCATGCCATAAAAGTATAAAACCCTTTTACCTTTTATCTCCTTTTTAAAGCAAATGTTCTATGTGAGCCACATATAGGCTTTATTTTATGGCGAATTATAAGTAAAATAATTTTTTTTAGTAATTGTTTAGTGAAATGAATCTAGTAAGACACGTCAAATTAAATTCCGTTGAAGGCTTTTAATGTGACATCTCCATTTTTACGGTCAGAAAAGACTGATTTGTTTATGTTTTGTTTGAAAATCAGAGTAATATTTTTAAAGAAAAGTGTTGCGGAATATGTTCCCAAAAGATAAATGTGATAAAGATTTATCAAAGTATTTCCGAAGAAATGAATTTCATTATATTAAAACCTCGGGATGTCATGTTCGATACAGATCAAAAGCATAAACAAAACAACATAGACCTTACAACATTTATTTATATCTACTGGCCTATAATCCATAATCCCTCGTCAAGTCATCCAACTATGCTCTTGTGTCACTACCTGTAATACAATAAACTGAGCGAGCCAGACTTGGGAGCCTGGTGAGCATATAGGGTTTTCAACCCACAATAATAAGTTTATTAATTTCATCAAACCTAACAAACCCGATTACCCGTTCCCGTTATCCTCACTTTACGTCCCTAAAACATCTAATATAAGGGACCTAGCTTAAGGATTTTCATCGGGGTGACAACACTGCTTCAGGGGTTCCTTAACAATTTATGTCAAATAAGGCAACCATGAGGGGATGGAGTACTGTTGGCGAACACTAAGTTCAAATAAACACTTACAGGTTGCGAGCCTGCTAGCGTTCCACTGGACTGTCTAGAATAGTCCGTGGTCGTCATCTATACTCTGTTAGATGACTGGATCATCATAAACATCGAGACCTCTCATCATTTTATCACAGATCATCTATTTCATCTACCCATGTTATACCCAACATTTTTGTACATATAAAATACGTATACAGTTTAAATCATTTAAAACATGTATAAAAACGTTCATCCAACATAGATATCAAGTAAACAGATAATATACACACATAGTACGTAATTTATATAAATTACTTCATATATATGTGTAAGATGAAAGTAACTATGCACTCACCTATTAAGGTGGTGATTACGAACTCAGATAGCGCTTCGCTTAATTTGTTTTCCTTCGATGAAACCTGGTATCATTACCACTAGATTTTAGTCTAATATTCATTGCGACTAATTATTAGTCTAGATTCATCATTAATTCAGAGTCTACTTCATGATCTATCAAATAAAGATCATCCAGGCAGGACAGTTGGAAGGCAGGACCATTTCGGCATATAGCTTTTCTGAAATCCAACAACCAAACCCAACGTGACCATTCTAGACACCTCTCCCGTAAGTAGTTCAATCAGTATAACGACTTTGAATTACTGATAAACTTATTTATAGGTTCATAATAACGATATTATGTTTAAATATAAGCTATATTTAAAGTAGGGTAGGCGTATCTCACTTACAGTGAGTTTTGCTAAAAAAATCGGGCTCCACTGGAGCAGAGCTTCGGAGCCGAAAAGCTCTTTTTCTCGGAGCCTTCGGATGCTCCGGGGCTTTCCTCTAGCACCTTGAAGTTACTAGGGCTTTAGAGGGGTTTTGGGAGTCTAGAGAGAAGTTAGAGAGAGAAAGAAAGGCTTATGGTGTGAAGAAAAAAAATGAAGAATTCATCTTTTATTTATAGGGGTTTGATCATAGAGTAGGCCCTAAGTTTCGTCCGTATCTTCCGTGTACGAGATTCATTTTCTATGTTCTTTATATCCACGCGTTGGTATTTACGAGTACTACAACTTTCATTTAGATCCCGTCGGCTAATTCTCATTTTATCTCCGATTTACAAAACTATATCGAATTTATCGCGCTCGAAGAGTAGGGACTAAGTTTCGTCCATATCTTTAACATACGAGCTCTATTATCGACGTTCTTTATATCTACGCGTTGGTATTTACGAGTACTACAACTTTCATTAAGACCCCGTCAGCTAACTATCATTCTATCTCAGATTTACAAAACTGTATCGAATTCGCCGCGCTCGAAGAGTAGGGACTAAGTTTCGTCCATATCTTTCGCATACGAGCTCCGTTTTCGACTGTCTTTTTATCGTTGAACTCCTATTAACGACATCTTCATTTCTCATTTAGATTATTTTGGCTAAAACTCGACCGATCTAACATTCAAATTCCGGGCTATGCATTGCTATGCTAAATCTTTGAAAAATCGTAACTTCCTCATACGAAGTCAGATTTGGACGTTCTTTTTATGCACACTCTCGGTTTAACGTATATTTCAACTTTTGTTTAGATAACTAAGGCTAAAAAATATTTTATCAAAAATTACTTTTTACGTTATGCGGTGTCGTGCCGGTTTAGCCGTAACACTTCGACATGTCATAACTTATTCGTTATAACTCGGATTTCGGCGTTTTTTATATCTCCGGAATCCTTGTCACGACCACTAAAACTTTCTTCATATATATCGGGTTTATCTATTATTTTATTTTTGACGCTTATTTTCATTCTTAATTTATTATATCGTTATAAACAAGTATATAAGCACATAATTCACATAATATTCATTCTCTTTATTAATTCAAAATGAGTTACAATGGTTGACGCTGACTATTAAATAATTATATTAATTCTTAGCCCAGAAACACGGACGTTACATTTAATGTAAACCAAATTCACACATTTTTACGTATCCAAGCTTGTGAAGAGTATTGGATGTTGATGAGAACATTCACACAAAGCTTAATGCAATCTATTGATATTTTTCTAATAACCTGTTTAAATTTAAATTATAAAGTTAGGTTTCTTTCAAAGAGCTTGTTTTGAATTTAACAATTCGGAGAATGTGATGTGTTAGAGCTTGTTAACATCTTTAAGACCAACTTAGATATGATTGAGTCAATTTCATATTTCAATTTAACTTAAACAACAATATAGTCAAGCATAGGATTGAAACTTCTTTAATTTTGAATTCTCCTTTTACACCTTGTTCTTCCATTCTATTTAAATAGTAACTTATAAACAAACTCCTTTGTTTACTGACTGTGGTGTACCTTATGTAAAAAGTGTATAACTGTTAGCCTTATGTCTTTGTGGATCAACTGTTTACATTATACTACTCTTTTTTATTATTACTTTTTAGTGCATTCTAACGATGATTTGAAGTTACTTTGTAACCCATTTTATTTGTTAGATTATGGAGACTTGCATAAACGGGGTTACAAAGTAACTCCATATCACTATTACAATGCATTAAAAAGCAGTGAAAGGTAAGCAGAGTCCATCCACATAAGCACATGACTCTTAATTATATCTTTTTTTGCACAACGTACAACTCAGATAGTAAACAAGTGAGTTTATAAGTTCCTATTTAAACGGAATGAAAGAACAACGTAAAAGTAGAATATAGAAATAAAGAAGTTTTATCCTATGTTTGACTATATTAGTGTTGCAATTCAATTGAAATATGACAAACTCTTAGAAAAAAATCAAAATGTTGCATTAAGCTTTGTTTGAATGTTCCCAACAACATCCAAGACCTATCGAAACAAGGGATATGTTGTTGAACTGATCCATTTCCATGACCTCCATAACTTCAAAGTAGAACCACAATGAGAAGAACGAAACAATCTAAAAAACAACAAGAATATCGCAAGAATAAATTTTCAGCAAGAATATCTAACAAATCCTAAATGAAACCATTGGAAATTAAATTACATCAGAAGACTAAACTAACAACATAAACATCAAATGAAACCCTCGTCAAACTGATATTGATTTCTCACAACCCTATAGAACTTTATTTCATCCCAGAAATCCAGCTCAACCCCTACATAGACTCTCATTCTAGATTCGACTCTCTTCCTCTTGTTCGATACCATATACCAATTTCATGTGAGAGTATCAGGTGAACCTGATTTCCATATTTGACANNNNTTCTAGATCTAACTCTCGTTCCTCTTTCGCAATTCCCTATACTAATTTTAGGTGAGAGAGGGGGGGGGGGGAGAGAGAGAGAGAGAGAGAGAGAGAGAGAGAGAGAGAGGTTTTTGGTGTATGATATTGTTCATCGGAGTTGAAGGAGGGTAAGGAAGAAGAGCGACGAGAGAAGTAAGAAAGGGAGATAGAAGTTGTAAGGTATTTCTTTTTGTCGGGGAAGGAGACAGCTGATGACAGTTGGACAAAGCTCATCGACAACAATCCAGTTATGGTGGCAAGGGTTGTAGAGTTCTAAGGGTTCGAGATACTAAAGATGAGAGAAGAGATAAATGACGATGATAGATATATGATTTGGTTGATAAAATTGGATCCGGAAAGGATGATGTTATTTATTTTAAAAAGGTAAAAAATAGTTTTAATTAGAAAAACATAAAAATAATATAAAAATCTTTTTATATAAATGAATAGCCAACCTCAAATATTATAAAAGAGTTACACTTCATATAGTTATTTAAAGATTATAATACTATTTTATAAGAGGAGGATATGAATAGAATTTGCCAAACTGCAGACTCCTGAGGCCGATAAGCGAAGAATGTCCATAAATCAAGACGACTACTCACCGGCAGAAACCCTAATTACCTTCGACCCCAAATACCTCTCATCTGAAGACCCATCCAGCCTGAACAGACGATTCCGTCGTCCTCGGTTTCAAAGACCCCCAATCTTGGGCATCGGCATACAAATCGTGTGAGTCAAATATCATACACCAATGCGAGGCTGGTGTTCGGAACGGTTGTTCTGTCAGCGCGTCCAGCAAGTACGCCCCATCATAGCGGAAATCGCTGATTGTCGGTGGTGTATCCAAAGAAGAATTAATCGAGAGAGAAAAATGCGTAGAACGAGAAATGGCGGAATCTTTAGAAGCTTCGAGAATGAATAGTCGTAGCGTTTAGAGATGCTCCAGTCGTGGTAAAAGCTAAAGCTGGTAGCGGTGACGAAAAAGTGAAGAAGTGTGTGTCGGAGTTGATTGGTAAGGTTTGAAATCAATCTCGAATTGGATTTATGATTCTTAGATGAAGTGATCTGCTTGCTCGAGAAGCATAGCAGTTCTGAAGAGAAAATCGGTATGAATTCATATTTCTGAGCAAGCGATCGGTATTTTTTTGTTTATACTCGTTGTTAACTAGTAAAAATCAACAACAGTTGTAATACCTTTAAAATTTTCTTGATAAATATGCTTATCTGGTGCTTTATTTGTGTTTAAAATCTTGACGCCATTATATTAGGGGTAATAGCTTGAACATGTGTTAGTAGGCTTTAGATGTTTCTTTCTTGGTACTACATAACATACAAGTTTCATTGCATGATGCACAAAAATTTACAGTGTGGATTTTAACAAAGTAATGCATGAAGTTCCTCATATTCAAATAATTGCATTAAAATCAATTTCAGTTGAGCACCAACAAATAAACATGCACTAAACATCCAATGAAATGCATATTTCTTCCCTAAATTTCAAAAATTATTAATAAATTTTAAACTCAAATGTAAGTTTGTATCAGATGATAATCACAATCAACAGAAATTGCAGTTGAACTACTAAGCATTCAATTTCATGCTTCTATTTCCTCAAACATTTAGCAATTGTTTAGATGGTGTAAACAACAAGTCAAGCAATCCAAGAAAATAAACCTTAATTTTCGGAGTTCATAAGAAAAGAATGTAGAAAATTCACCATCACATCAAATCCAACATATAATCCTAAGAATACCTCATCCGATAACACTAAACTACACCAATCCATGCTAATCATGGAATTGACAAAAGTTTACACAAAGTATCATGGAGAAATTCAACCTAAGTGTGTCTTCAATGATCGAGAGTAAAAGAATAAGCTCCAAAATTCTTCACAAATATTCTAATCTTCATGTTTAAATGTGCAAATCTGGGTACCATTTACATGTGTGCACAACAACTAAAACTAAAATATGAGAATGAATGCAACAATATAACGGCATGTTGATGTGTTATGAGCTCAAATCCAAAAACTAGTATTTTTTGGCCCCTGAAATTTCTTTTCCTTTTGGCTTTTGATTTGTGAGTGCTAAATCCAAACCCATGCAAAGCAACAAAAAATCCAATAACAATAAACAAGAAAAAGACTCAAGTTCCATGCAAGCATTGATACATAAAGATCTCAGAGGATGTTACATTTATATATGTTTGCGTGTTGCTTTATATTTATTATGTCATTTTATTTTATTGGTATCTTATGAAAATTAATTTGATTAGTATTAACATTGCGAGAAAACTAAAACAAAGACAGGGTACTCAACATACCGTTTCAATTACCGAATTAAAAATGTAAGCAATTATTTTGATTATGAGGATTTAATTAAGCATGTATTCACCAATAAATATGGATAATATACACTTTGGAATAAGTAAGGGGAAGATAACTAAATCATGGGATGCCGTGTGACATGGCAGATGACTTGTGTAAATCACCTAGAGACTAGCTGACGTGGCACGCTGATGTGGGTGTCAGTTTCCTTGTACTGGCGCTGCCACCTCTAGCTTTTTCTTCTGCTTGAGAACCACTTGACGTGGCATGACCTCCAATAAGAATTGACCTCCATTCCATACAGCTGCAGAAGCTTTGAGTATCTGGAAAATAAGGTGTAATTCATATGACAGGAATATGGGAACTGTGAGCGCCATTGTTGCCACTGTGAAAATGGCTTGAAGCAGAATGTACATTAGCATGCGATTTTGGTCTCCAAGACACCCGCTTAATCTCCACCATACGTTGTTTGCTTTACGTGCCTTATTTGATAGCCCCCTGTACGTCATCAAACATGTTAGTTATGTAAACTAGAAAATTAAATTGATAAATTTATTTTATAAAGATAATCTTCAATCAAATAAAGCTATATTGATACAAAAATTCCATATAAAATATTATATTTCTTGTTGTTTGACATATATACTCTATGTATTGTAGATGATCAAAAAAAGTTTTTTTTTTTTCAAAACTAAAGATGAAACAAAACTAACTACCATGTCATCCTTTAGTAGGACTATGTTAAAAATAAACGTTTTAAGTTATTTCTGAAAAAGAACAAAAAAAATTATGATTTTATTTTTTAAAATTATTGTTATGAAGATTATTATAAAAAAACAATTTATAATTGTAACTAGAAAGGTTACCCCCGCTACGCGGGGGCCAGAAGCTTTCAATGTTGTTTGCGAATCGATAAATATGACAGACGTAGAAAGTGCAAGGATGAAAAGCCCGGACTTTTGCCCCAGACCGTTTTTTTAATGTTTTTATGAAAAAATGTAAAAGTTTTGACTGCAAGGACCAGAAGTGTCAAAATGGCTAAAGAATTAAAGGGGTAGGAATTAACAACTTTTTAGAAAAGGGATCAAAGTTGTCAAACCGTTAAAGTTTTGTGGTCAAACTTTAAAGATTAAAAGGTTCCTAAAAAGTGTAAAAATATTGATTGTAAGGACCAAAAATATCAAAATGGTTAAAGAATGAGGAACAAAGTTGCCAAAAAACATCTAGTTTTTATGAAAAAATATAAAAGTTTTGACTACAAGGACCAGAAGTGTCAAAATGGCTAAAGAATTAAAGGGGTGAGAATTTGCAACTTTTTAGAAAATGGATCAAAGTTGTCAAACCGTTAAAGTTTTGTGGCCAAACTTTAAATATTAAAAGGTTCCTAAAAAGTGTAAAATTATTGGTTGCAAGGACCAAAAGTGTCAAAATGGTTAAAGAATGAGGAGCAAAGTTGCCAAAAAACATCCAAATTT